CATGCTTTACACGTCACTGACAAAGGAGGAAATTGGTTTCCCATCATTATTCCTCACCAACGGGACACAACAGATCTCCAGTGGACAAAGACGGTCTTGACCCGACTTCGTAAATATTCAAACGCTCCTAATGAGGGACATGAAAGAGGACGAGTGGCGGAGGGGGGCCTCGGCGGTCCCTGTGTTGTCTTTTCTTGGGAGAAAAAGAAAAGGAGGAGGATGGATCTGCTCTTTCGTCAAATATAGATTCCTCGAAGGTGTGAGCGTTAATTACATGATGGCATGACCTGCACTCAGACGCAGAGACCCACGGTGCTCAAAAACACAAACAAGAACTCCTGGAGTGATTGGGTATCGATTACCTCGACAGAAGTCGTTTGTCTTCTAATGGAAACATTTTTATTTTACTTCAGAGAAAATGGGCCACGCTATCAGCTGCATGGGCTCATTTGAAGAGAAAGGTTGGCTTCTACCGTAAAACAAAACAAATGTAGATGAATTGATCGATTATTTTCAGATTGATGCCAGATATGCGTTAATTGGTAATTTGTCTAATAAACGAAGGCAAGGTGCTGCATGAGCCCTCAAAATGGTGGGAAAAGTATGATTTTCAACATTTTTTACAATTAAAATGTATTATGTGCAATGATGTTCAACAGTGGAGTCAGTATTTTGTAGATCCAGCATTTGCTGAAACTCTTTCAGGGATTGTCTGCAAGGTTATTATAGTCAAATAAAACCAAAAAAATAACAAAAACTGATATTTAGAAAACATTTTAAATTCCTGAAACAGAGAAAAATGATAATTAATGGAGAAAACTAATTAATGGAGAAAACTAACTAAACTAATTAACTACCTGGAACAACATTGTGTGTTTATAAAACTAAGACATGCTGAAAGTATAGATGCAATATCTTTAGTTTTTGTGTTTATGAACCCATTAGTCTTTAAAATACCAAAATTTGGACTTAACTTTACATTTTTGTCTGATTATTTTCTTAAATATTAAATCAGATGCTCTGGTCATTTTAATCAAATGCAGTTTTACTTTTACTTTTTACCTTTACTTGAGTAAAACTATGTTGAAGTAGTGCTACTCTTACTTGAGTACAATGTTTTGGGTAATCTACACACTGGGGACGTGATTTTATCGTATCGTTTATCATTTACTGTGATAAATTTGTTCTCATGATAAAAATTCTGATTATTATTGTCACAATAAACTCGAATTAATGAGTTTGATAGTTTTGCTGTTTTCTCCAATTCAATTCAATGAAAGCATAAAAAAATAAATAAATGTGAAAATGCAGTTACCTTTAATAGTACAGGGATACAAATCACACTTATACAGTTATCTGAAAAGTGGAATAAATATTTCTTATCATCACTTTAAGTGCTTTTGCAAAATATCGTGATAAAACTTTAAGTCCGTATCGCCGTTTTCTACCTCTGAATGTAATGTGAAAAGGTTAAAGATGTGATTCTTTTTGTAAGGTTGCTGTGTGGTTGGGAAAAGGCTCCAGATTTTTTATTTTTTTTGCATGCAGGCCGTATGGATTTCCTGTAGGAGGGCATTATAAATTCTCGACGAAGTTTAATCTCCCCGGAGAGGAGCTTATATTTATGTCTCTGCATTAATGTCAAAGCGGCAGCTAACTCTCCTCTTCCCTCTGCTGATTGAAATGTAATTTCAAATCTAAAATCTTCTCCAAATATCCCTTATCAAAACAAAGCTAAAGAGGAGGAGAGCCGGGCTGGTTAGGGTTGCCTTTCTAATGCCCGTATGAAATGTAATTTCCCTCTTATTACTTCTGCATTTATCACAGGCAGGCAGACAGAATGAATATTGACTAAGGCTGTAATAATAATAGCTTGCAAAGCACAAAATCTGGGCTATTCAAATATATCTCCCTTGCAGTTGCAGACTCATGAGATCTGTTGAATCCCTCCTCCCAGTAATTTAATTCCCCTCCATGTCGGCCGTCCTCGCCGCCCCGACCCGTTCCCGGCTGGAGCCCGCTGTTCTTCCCCTCAGGATGTCGTGCCATATGCCGCTCCTGCCTTCAGCATTATGCTGCTCTGAAGGAATTAATATTTCACTGACGGCTCCTGAGCCGTTTTTCTTGCTGACGAGCTGAAGGTGCAGCAGAACAATAAATATTTAAGCGTTTTCTTTGGAGGTTCTCCAATCAGGAGCTCCTTATGTACGCTGTCAGAGTCGTGCGCCGCCGCCGTTCCTCTCTTTTCCTGTCACACCTCTGACTCTTTATCCATCTCTCCCTACCATCTCATCTGCTGCACCATCTGTGCAGCTGTAATAAGCTCAACTCCTCGTGTTTTCCCTCGATTCCCGCTCCTCTCCAGGCGACGCTTCACCCTGCTTGTCTGTTTGACTTGTTTGGCTCCGAACGAGGCAGCAGTCAAACCCGGCGAACGACGACGCAAACTACAGCTGGGCGACAGGGCTTAAAAATAAAACACCTGATTTATTCAGATAAGTCTACAACAGTGGATTAGAGCCATTATAGATAAGTTTATATTCACTTTTCTTTGCTTTTTCTAGAAAATTTCTCAGATTAATTTAGACATTTCTGAGTTTATTATAGCCAATTTCTGGGTTTTCAAAATCAGGAATTTCCTCTTTTTTTTTTTCTAACTTTTTCTTATGCATTAATCTCAAACTGAATTTTTCTAGCAAATTTTCAACTTTTTTTTTTTTTTTTTTAGAAAAAAACTTTTTTCTAGCTAATTTCTGAAATTAATCTCAATTTCTGATGGTTTTCCATACAAATTTTTGACTTTTCCAACTCAGAAATTCCCTGATACATTTTCGAGTTTCATCTTAGAAATTACAAATGACACACTGCAAAAAAATCTTTAAAAAGTATCCTTGTTTACTTTCTAGTGCAAGTATCTTAGTACACGAGGAAAATAGACAAAACTAGATTGCAGGTAACTTTTACTTTGATTTATGTCAATAATTCTTGAATATTGATTAAAAGTATCAGCTCTAATGGCTAATTTTATTAACTTGCATCAGGAAAAATGTTAAAAGTTAGATGACCTGCCAGTGGAACTGGATCTTTTTAATCAACATCAAGGAATTATTCACTTAAAACAAACTCCTATGTAATTTACTTTAAAGTGTAGTAAGATATTTGCAAGGGAAGCTTGAGTTTTTGTAGTTTTTGTATAATAAATTGTGGGCTGGATGTATTGTTTTATTGTAGAGTTGACCTAGATATAAATAAACAGAAGCTGTTCAATACGCTTGTCAAACAAGATGGCTGCCTTGGACGCGCTGACATCACTCTGAACTACAGAAACACAAGAAGTGCATTGGTGAAAAAAAAAATCCCCATTCTCCAAAACTTAAATCTTCAAAAGCCAAAGTCGTGATCGTCCAGCTCTACCTCAGGCCGTTTCGTTCCACTCGCCGTCCCCGTCGTCACGCGAGCTCTGGGCTAAAAAAACTCGCCGCCGGCAGAAACGAGGTGACCTTACACACGCTTCATCCGTGACACGCACACAATGCGCCTCTTTTCCCTCCTACAAACGCTCTCAGAGTGGAGTGTGCAGCAGTTCTAACCATTTCAAGTCCCTACCAACAGCAGAGTATCGATCCGAGCCAGTAATCGCACTGACACCACACTCAGCCGGATGATGAAAAATGGGGAAGATGGAATAAAAACCTCTTGGCTTATGTTTCATACGCAGCAAAAAATAAAAGAAATTAAAAATAAAAAGTCCTCAAAGAAGTTCTTGGGTTTTCGGTTTCAGCATAAAGCTTCCAATGAAATCCTCCCTGGATCTGGTAAGAGCTGTGTGTCCCTCCTCTGATACCGAAAGGCCTTTTGAGGTGGGAAAAGAAATCCACATAATAAACGTGAGAAAATGATCCACTACAGTAAAGAGTTCAGCCGCCTCAGGGTGGCAGGTTTAAAACAAACGCAAACAAACACCAATCTGCGAACCAGATCTGTTGAGATATTCTCAATTCCTGGACTAAACAGCAGAGCAGCTGCCAGCACAGCTAGCGTGTCAGATTCATCGCTACTTGATGACCAAATGGCAACAGGACATTGGCAGACGCGTGATGGAGTGTGGACGTGATGGATTTCATCATAAAACTCACAAAGACACAAAGAACAAAGTGAGACAAAGAAACAAGATGAGGACCAGAGAAATCAACAAACACGCCTTTGAATAGGGAGTTCAGATTTGTTTTTACAGGTTAGTTTCTGTTTAAAGGCAGGAAAATTTACATTTTTCCATTTTCATTTGGGTTTCTGCTGCTTCTAAAAACAGCCTCAGCATCTAAAAATAAAACCACCCGGTCGGTTTTTGGCTATAAGGTAATGTTTTTTTGGCGTCTGGAAAATGAGTCGTTTCAAAAACCTTCGGAATGGAATGTAACAAATCGGCAGGCACTCCACCGTAACCTAGCAACCCCGGCAAAGCCCAGCCCGTTACCTAGCAACGCAAACTGAGCTCCAGCACATTGAGGAAGCGCATTAAAACGCATCTACGTTTCTCCATTTATTCAATGTCATGAAAGAAGAAAAGTTTAAAAAACACGGGACATAAACTGTTGTTTGCTAATACCAACATTCTCCGAAAAATCTCCCGCTGATTAATCTGACATTTAAAAAAATAACTTTGGTAATTCTGGTTAATCTGAAACAGAAATTTTAATGCAACTATTTAATTTCCCTTTGGGATCAATAAAGTATTTTTGAATTAAATTTTTGAATCTGACTATGATTCAAAAATTTGAATTCTCAAGGACCAACTAATTTGGATTAATGCTGAATAAAGACAACATGCCATTTATTTACTGGATCTAACATGTTAACTGATTACAAGCTTTTAATAGAGCCGCACTCTAAGTTTAAAACTCTAATTATTCCTTTTAGATATTTACCTCTGTGGTAAAAACAAACCCTGAGCTGCTGAATCTCGATGTGTTAAAAAGTCCCAGCTGAGACGGTTCAGGTACCTGATCAGGACGCCTCCCGGCCCCCTCCATCTGGATGTTTGCCTGGCACTTCCTGCTCTGGTGACACCCTGAGGCTGAGCCATAAATCACTGGAGGGGTGATGGCACTGTGCAAAAGTCTTCAGTCATTCTTTCTTTCTTACAGCCCAAGCGAAGCCAGGCTTTTAAACTGGAAAACAGGAACATGTATAAAAACATGTAAAATGTATATTAATCTTTCTAAGAGACATGACTTCATCTGATACAGTTTTATTTTGACTGTTCTTCAGTCTTTAAACATTTCTCAACATCCATTCAATTCTGAATGGAAAATGAGTGAAAAGGCCGTCAAAGACGACACCTTCAGAAAACCTGAAAAACTATTAATAAAACAACAAGAAAATCATTACAACAATTCCTACTCATTATAAAGTAAACAAATTAAGAAGAGTTGAATTGATTCAATACAAAACATCCTATTCCAGGTTTAGTTCAAAAACAGAAAACTCAGAATGAAGCACCAAAAAAATAGTGAAACTGTCCATCTTCAGACAGGAGGCTTAGAGAGACGGTACAGACAGTAGGAGTCTCTGCATCAACAACTAAACAACAAAGAGTCAGTGTGAGAGCTCAGGGGTATGAAAGCCTCTACATCCAAGGAGGCAACCAATGCTGGGACAGAAAATAGCTTCACTACGTCTAAACAAAGGAAGACTCTCCAAAGGGTTGGCATCCTCTCGTCTTCCCCGTAGCAAACATACAGGTTGTAAACCAATCAGAACGCTTTAAAGGATGGAAAATAAAGCTTTTATTTGGCTAAAAACACAACTAACCTCAGAAAGTCTAATCCATTTTGGAACAGATAATCTTCCCAACATAAAACACAAGTTTTCTTTAAAAAGTGAGCAGCACAAATATTTAATGGTGATCAAATAGAAGCAGTGTACATAATACACAGAAAAACAATGAGGCAAAAATCAACCTAAAAGGGGTTCATGACCTTTGTTTGACAGCATCCTGGCAGGAGATGGGGAGAGAGAAGTGGCCCGAGGCCAGACGTTGGACCTGGCACACCACCACCAAGGTCAATGTTTGTTAAATATAACTGATGAACTAACACCAGGTTTCAGCAGAATCAGCTGGTCGGCTCTTAAAGGGGCAGGACTGTGTAAAATCTACTATTACATTATTCGCTCTTCATGTTGCTTTGATTCTTTCATGCATGTTTGAGAAATCCCTGTCTCCCATGGCAACCGTTATAAGTGTTTCTGCAACACAAACACTGATTGGTTAGTTAAAGCAGCAGTCATCTGTGGTGGCTGCTTTAAATATTTGAACGAGGAAATAATAGTTTAACTGTCTCAAAGCCAGTTTAAGCAGCATGATGCTTAGACTGAATGATTTTAAACTGAATGATTTTACACAGCATTGCTCCTCCGAGCCGTCCTCACTCAGCTCCTCCAGACTAGTGGCAGCAGCGATTAGCAAACACCTGGTGGAACTGCACTTCAGCTAAGATCATAATTCAAGCTACGTCTCTGTGCAGCACTCCTAAGACTGGATGTAAATAATATAATGAGAATCATTTCAGAACAGGACAAGGGCCATTGAAAAAATACTTTTATTTAAATTTTGACTTGTCTGGAGGAAAACAGTCTAAAAGTTTTAACTTTTCAAACTCAAATTTGTTAGCTTAATCTCAAACATTTTCTACAAAAAAAAGAAAATTTCTGAGATTCATCTAAATTTTTCTGAGTTTCTTTCTTGCAAATGTTTGACTTTTAGAGCTCCAAAATGACCAAATTTTTTTCTTGAAAATTTCTTTGCTTAATGTCAAAATTTCAGATTTTTTTTCTAATAAATTATTAATTTTTAGAGTTCAGAAATTACCTTTTTATTTCTTAATTTCTGGGGTTAATCCCAGCCTTTCTGAATTTTTTTCTCACAAATTTTCAACTTTTGGAGCTCAAAGGGTTTCTTGAAAATCTGAGATAAATTTCAAAATTTCTGAAGTTTTCTTGCAAATGTTTGACTTTTGGAAATTTCCTTGTGTTTCTATAAAATTTCAGAGATTTATCTAATAATTTATGTGTTTTTTTAATTTTCTTTTTTTTTGAGCTCAAAATTTTAGTTCTTTTTCCTAAAAAATTCTGAGATAAATATAACATTTTCAGTTTTTTCTTGCAAACTTTTGACTTTTGGAGCTCTGAATTTTTCTTGTCTGAAATTAATATTAAGATGTTTCATTATAAAAAACTGGAGCTGGATGTTCAGTTTGTGTCTGGGAATCGTTGCGGTTTCAAGTTAAAAATCAGGGTCAAAGTTACGCTGGTGGCTTCCTCCATCCATTACATTTAAAAATGTCTTCTTAAGCAGGAGAAATCCAATTGGACCGATTCCTCAAGCCATAATGATCCTGAAACTCCTGATTTCTCTGGACGGTGTGCGGTCGATGCCTCTAAGCTATCAAATATCCTCCTGTATAAAACCTGCACTTAGCTAATCCTTCCAGTTTAGAGGTCAAGGAGTCAAGTTCATCTCCAAACATTTCAGCTGCCGACAGAGAGACATTCGGTTGTGTTATTTTTGCGGGAGCAGCCCGGGAGTCGGGTATTGATTTGAGAATGCTGATTGGGAGCCATCACGCTGGATCTGGTTGTGTGATTTCCCGTCAACAGGACGAAGCTCTCTCCCCCTGCGGTCCTGCAGATTCCAGTGAAGGCTGGGGGCAGGGATTATCCCGGGGTTCTGCAGCGCTCGGTAAGCGCCGCGATGACTCAGTGGATAATGAGCCAGTTTGTGATGTGTGCTGCAGGGTCTCTGCCAGGTAGCGGTAATGAAGCACAGATCTCTGCAGATTTAAATCCAGCTGTTATCGCCCTGTTCTCTACTGCTTGATAGGATTTCAGTCATATCTGCGTGTAATCTGACGTCTTGCTCTCAGAAAAAACAAAAAACAAGAGATGCTGATTTCTTTCAAACAGAGTTTAGGACCCACATTAATTTAAATCCCAAATAATCCGAATATCAGCTCAACATGATAAAGTTCACATATAGAAAATCTATGTGGGACGCAGAAAATGATAAAAAAGATTATGCATTTCCTTAACCTTAAGTTCACTATTAACTTCAGTTAAACTGTTGACTGAACTAAGACTAAAATTCTGCTAAAAGAAATTTATTCTGCAACAAATTTAGCCGTAATTAGGCCTGCCATTAATTCAATAAATCTCATAATTTCATGGTAAAACAGTGTGGACAGGCATTAGAAGTGTATTTATGCGAGTTTTGACCATTCTTCCAAAAGAGCATTGATGAGGTCAGACACTGATGTTGGACCAGGAGGGCTGATTCACATTCTTCATTATTTCATTTCATCCCTATGAGGTTAAGGTTCTGTGCAGGTTAGTGAGGTTCTGTACTTAGTAATATAGTTTCTAAGCCCTGAACAGTAATGCCTGCACCAATAAAACATTTACAAACCAAAGTTCTTCAATCCTTTCTACAGTCAATTTTTGCATCTTATCTACTTTAACACATTTAATTACATGGAATTTAAGGCGAAAAAAATTTGAATGCAATTAATCACATTTTGGTTTTACATAAAAAGGTTCAGGCTGGAACCTTTGTAGTCATATGTTTCTGGTACGCCAGTAAATCTGACGCACAAGCGACATTTGCAAACAGAAGCCGCTTCTCTTTTTCAAATGGTGGTTAATTTTTGCTTGAAAGAGCAATCTGATGGGACGCTGGGAAAAACTACTGTTGTGTTTAAGTTGTGCTAACAGGAGTTAGCCTACAAGCTAAGCTAAAATAGCATCTCAATGCTAAATATGTTGCAGCAGCACAGGCAGCCCCTTGCTAACATTAGCATCCAGAGTTCAGATTTCTGAAGTTCAATGAACAATCAAGAGTCCCTGAAACTCTGTTGGCTGAATAACCTACATAGTAGATTAAAAACAATAAATAACTTTGGTGTTGAGCTTATATATGTATTTATTGAGTAATTTAGCAGTAGAAAGGGTTTTTAAAATTGAAATGTTGCTTATTTTGTCGTTCTGTTTCCAGTTATAATTTTAATCAAGACCCACCACTAATTAAACACCAACATTGAAGAAAGTCTCACAGGTGATTTAAATGTTCACATCGTCCCACACAGACACTAATGACGTTGTAAATCAGTCGGTATGATCTGCTAAACAGAAAGGATTGCAAATCGATGCCGACTCACTAGAGTGAAGGAAGAGCGCCATTTCTTTCCTTCACCTGAATCAGGCAGAGCTCATTTATATGCAGCACTGCTTGCCGTACAGTTGGTGAGGGTGAGACACTCTGACCTTTTATACCATGACAACATGCCATGCAGTTGTTGCTGCAGCTGCTTTGCAATTCATGGCTTGCCCATTAAATGCGCTGCGTGAAATAATGTCATCAGGTTTCTGTAATTAGCGGCAACGAGAACACGAACAATAGCTGCAGTCGCACCTCATCACCGGCTAAAGCCAGACGGCTCCTTCCACACTTTGCAGTTTGGTCTCATTAGCTCGCCGTACGAGAGACGTGGTAGATAGAATAATTTATAACATTTCTGACAAAAAAAATATGAAAATCTGTGATTAATCTCAAATTTTCCAGTAAAAGCAAGGACATTTTAGAGTTTGAAAAGTTTAAAATTTACTATAAATAAAACAAGGATATTTCTGAGCTCCAAAAGTAAAAAAAAAATTATGAATTTTTTTTTTTTTTTTTTTTTTTTAAAATTTTTTAAAAAAAAAAAATTTAAATATTTTCTTTTTAAAAAAAAAAAAAATTTCACA